TACAAAAATCTATTTTATCATTGCTTTTAAAAAATTATATGCATTTATTGCTCATCATTTGCTATCCATGCACACGTTGACAACGCAACGGTCTACGGATGTTATAAAAATAAACATGGAAATTAATTGTGCAGCCTTTTGCATTATGCTTTGTTTTCGCACGTTATCGCCAATGAGAGTGGACGCCGACGCGTGCTCCCCAAGAGAACGTGAAAGAGAACGAGCGGGAGAGCCGGCCACTCCAGAGTCTAGACATGGCACTCAGGAGCTCTGGCTGGCACATGCGCACGCTGCATGGCATAGGCAAACGAGAAGCGCAACTGGCGCGCCAAAACAGGTTCCCTAAGGTGTATAAGGGGGGAGCGCCGAGGAGCAAGGGGGGGTGTCTGTTCCAGCATGACAGCCGACGGCGCCAGTTAATTGCAAACTTTTTTTTATAGCCATTTGCTGTTGCGTATCTTTTTACTCGTTGTTGTTGTTGTTGTTGAGGGACTGTGCAGTTTGCTGATTAACTTTTTGCATGCTGAGAGTGTGTTTTGTCTCAGTGCATGTTTGTGTGTGTGTGTACTCTCTGCAGTGCATCTGCGGCAGAGTCGTTGACGATGTGTGTATGCAGAAAATCAATGCAAGCACAAACACAACAGCGCAAGCAAACGACAAAGATGCAGATTGTTCGGTATTTTAAAGGGTCCTGAGTCTGGTTTTGTGTTCACCAGGGTGGGTGGGCGCCAAGCTCAGACAGTCATACATGTGTGCGCGAGTATGTGTGCGCGTGCGTGTGTGTGTGTGTGTGTCTGTGAGTGCGTGCGCAGACCTGCTACAAAATTGATTTTTCCCAAGTCATTGCGAATTATTGCCGCAAATAAAATATGGAAAATAATATCGTTAAGTTGAACAAAAAAAAACTGGCCAAACTTGTCGCGTTTTGTGTCGATTTTTTAAATTGCGAATGGATTTACAAAACTTTTTAGTTTTTCTTACACTCTTAACGGCTTTTCAGGGCATGCCTGCACTGCTTTAATGCAAATTATTTACTTTTTAAAAATTTTTGTTTGTAATGCCTTTGCGTTTATTTAAACAAAAAACAGCACTGTTGTCATTTAAGATTGCGGCCGGCGCCAGACGCTTTTCTGTTGTTATATTATGTTTTCTTTTGTTTTTTTTTGCCTATTTTTTTTCAAGGAATTTTACTCTCCCCTCTTTATTTTATATTACAATTTTGTTTGCTGCGCGACGATTTTAAAAATTTCTGCTGCCCGTTGGACGCCGCCTTCGTCGTCGCTCGCTGAGAACTGACTAACTGACTGCGACTTAGGCGCCAGCAGCGTCGTCGACGCCGGCGGCGGCAGTAGCATGCGCATATTTACGAAGCAGCGAGTAAAGGCACAGACACCGACTGGCGCTCTCAGAGAGCAACAGCGTAAAAAAAGAGAGCAAAAAAAGCGAGAGCGGCAGAGAGCTTTAATCACTTGTTGATTGCGAGCTGAGTTTTAAAAGGACCGCGGATGTAGTTTTAGGTTCTGGATGAATTCTTTATTATTTAATATATACACACATTTTTATTGCTCCACCGGGTGAGCCGGCAGCACTTGACCCGCGCAACTGCCGAAACCTATGCGCAGGCCATTCTTCTCGCAGTGTCCGCGAATGATGACCTCATCGTAGTCCTGCAGAAATTTGCGCGTTTTGCCGCCCTGCAGCACTACCGTTTTTGTGCCGCGCCAGCACAGCTCCAAAAGCGAGCCATACGAATCGGGCGTTTCGCCACTTATCGTACCCGAAGCCATTAAATCGCCAGGTCGCAAATTGCAGCCAGTGATCGAGTGATGGGCAATCTGCTGGAGGGGTGTCCAATATAAATGCTTAAAGTTGGACTTACTAATGAGCGTCTCGTTATCATTGGCAGCTGGAAAACATATATGTATCGTTGCTTAACTGAAAATGTTGACTTAAACTGGGTTTGACGCTTACGTTTTAGGGAAACTTCCAGATTGATGTCAAAATTAAATGGCACAGTTTGTCTTAAATATGGCAGCACTTCCGGTTCCTGTGGAAAGTTGTCCAGTAAAAATGGCTTTAACGCTGCCGTCGTTACCACCCATGGGGATATGGTAGTGCCCATATTCTTGGCTGTGAACGGACCCAGCGGCACATACTCCCATTTCTGTATATCGCGAGCGCTCCAGTCGTTCATCAGCGTAAATCCAAACACATTTTGCCAAGCATCGTCCACCTTGATGGAGTCACCCAACTGATTGCCAGGTCCGCCAATAAAGAATGCCATTTCTAGCTCAAAGTCCAAGAGCTTGCTGGCACCAAATACCGGTTTATCGGCACCTTCTGGCAATGTCTGTCCCAAAGGCCGGCGTATGGGCGTGCCAGAGACAACAACAGAGCTGGCGCGTCCATGATATCCGACTGGCAAATGGCGCCAGTTGGGCATTAGAGCATTGTCTGCGCCACGAAACATGATACCCACATTGGTGGCGTGATGAATGGAGGAGTAAAAGTCCGTGTAGTCACCAATTTGCGCTGGTAGATGCAGTAGTATCTCCGACTGGGGCACCAGAGCTCTTAAAGTAGTAATGAGCATGACTTTATTAGCACATAGAATCTCAAGGAGGTCTCTGGGCAACTAACAGAAGTCTTAAGTCCACATTCTGCTCCAATTCGGAACCCTTGAGCAGCAGTTTTTGGGTTTGAGTCCTCACTGCAGCCCACGCTTCGTGACCCAAGCTCATCAGCAAGTTCAATGTCTCTGCCTGGAGAGCAGCCTATAGAATGTGTAAAAGCAGGGCAAAGTTCAATAAGCAGTTCGGCAAGCAGTGCGTTATACTTACTTGAAGCGGGGGTGCAAAGAAATGCGACACTGCTTTTAGATCCAACACATGTTCTCCAATTGCTACGCACAGGCGATGAACGGGCTGCAAGGCGACAAATACGATACAAAGAAATGATACGATATTCAGAGCTAAGTTGCGGCTGGCACAGGTGTTATACATTCTGAGCTGTAGCTATTATGACTATGGAAATCGTGGATTGTTTTTGTAAACAAACTAGTTTCATATATGATTTATGCAAATGATATGCACCAATGCGGTCTTTATACTAGATATATATATATATTAAAAACATGTGAAGATCCGCCGAATGTCACATGGAATATGAAAACTAAGCAGCTTTTAAGCTATTTAGCTACTTTAGTAGCTTAACTTACGTTAGATTTGGTTGAGAAGACAGCATATGGTAAATTTTCCAAAGGAAAATCGCTGCCTGCTGGCACTGGAACAAAGCTAACTGACATTTTATCCAAATTCTCACTGGTGTGAACTTTGTTACTGAAGAATTTACAACTTTTGAGAAGTTGTGTGCTTAGTAAACTGATTAGAATGACAGCAGCAAGTGGAACTGTGCGTAGCGCCAGAGCGACGATTACAACTGAGCACCAGCTCGCAACAGATCGTCTTTAAATATCGTTTGTAGACAACCTATTTCGCTCTTAAGCCGGTTGGACCGGTTATCGCGTGCTCTTAACAAAACAAGCCCCCACAATTTGTAATCCAGTGCAGAGAACCCATTAAAAACACTCTTTCTTGCTCTTTGGTTACTTTTATTTATAATTTACTCGTATATTTATATGTTATATATATATATTTAGATGCTGGAATAATAGTTTTTATTGGAATTCTCAAATATACACGACAACAACTGATTTGACTTTAGATTTTTCCCTTTAAATTTTCAATTATCCAATATACACATAGAATGTTTGTAGTTTGCTTTTAATCGAACTTAGTTAACAGCACATTTAAATACAATACATAAATGTATATTTATATATGTTTGTGAAACTATTAATATTTATAGGGATTAATTGTGTACAGCATGTCTTTTGATGTATTACTTAAATCCGTTGCCCATATGGGGTACTTTTATCATACTAGCTCAAAAACCATATTAGAATAAAACTGAACTGCAGTTAATTTTTTTTATGTGATTTTCTTATAGTTTTCCAACATTTTTTTTTTTTCATTTTTCTCTTTAGTTTTTGTTTACATAATTGCTTTTAATTGACACCGAATATATCTCATATATATTTATATATATATCAGACGTTTATGACAATGAGCGATGTCTAAAAACTAAAATTCAACTAAATTATTCCTTTGTACGTATTCATGTATATAGCACAGTTCGATAATTGGACTAGTTTTGGCCCGAGATCCAATCAAGCTTCAGAAACATACTTTATGTAGCGCATAAAGCTGTCCTTAACGGATCTGAGAGCCTTCATTATCACAACTGAAATAAATTGAGTTACTGAACTGCGTTTTTTAGTTGACCAACTTTTTGGACGAAGTTTGCCCAGTTTAACAAGCACAGGTCTCTTTTGATATATGGTGTAAAGGTACATACAATTGCCTGAAGCATAAACTTTGCCATGGATCAACTTTAAATATACTTTTCTATAGAAGCAACAGAATTGATTATGTAATTGAAGAATTGCAAACAATTTAACCGGAATTCAACATATTTCTTTATATTTTTTTTTTGATGATATGTTTATATAGCATATCATTTTCCAACACTTAAGTTCTTAAGTTCTGTCTTTAACACTCACTAGCAATAGGCATTTGTCAATCAATAGCCTCAAAACATACATCGCAGTCCAAAAGTAATTTTCATATTTTTAAGATGCTCGAACTTTGATTCTCAAATTCATTTGGGGTTTTACTTTGTTCTCGTTTTGGTGGTGAGCGTGGCGGGTGGTTTTTGTAGTTGTATTGTGTTATAAATATACATCTAGATATTTATAGAGTTTTACTATATAATTTGTTTTGATATATGCTATGTGCAACAGTCGTAATAACCTTTTGAAATACTTTGAAAGTGAAACATAAATTTAACTTGACAACACTTTGATTATAAGTATGTGAGTACATATTTTTAAACTTTTCCAACACTGGCTCGACTCTTTAAAATGGGATAACACAAATACGAAATCAAACGTAACATTCGGTAATATATTCAAACAAATTTACAGCAACATTTAACTTTGGTTAGTTGGGAATTATTCATTTTGCGTTCTTATGATATGCTTTTTACCTTAAAGATACTTCTTGGTTGTATGAACTACGCAACAGTATCTAGATTTATCTTTTGGAGAAAATTATGCTCTTCTGATCGATTCGCTTACAAGTCATCGCCCAACCGGTGTATCTCATCGAGCATAAAGTCCACATCCGCCTCGGTCACAGCAGCCGAAGAGATGATCGAGCGGAAGAAGTTGGGTCGTCGATCGTCTGGCTGATAGCCCACCATAAGTGTGCCCTTCTGCATCATGCGATTCTTGATAATTGGACAGATCTGTAAAAGTGTCAAATAGAGTTAGTTTGACTTCGAAGAAGTAGAAAGCGTTTGCTTTACTTACTTTGCCCAGTTCCACTTCTTTCTTTGCGTCATGTGGCATGCCCCTCAAACGCTTGGGCACATACCAGAACGAGACATTAACGCATTCCGGCTCCAAGATCAAATGGAATCGATCGGATTGGGCGCGTATGCGCTTCAACTGATACTGAACCAATTCCATCAAGCGATCCTGCTGCTGCTCAAAGCCCTCGGTACCCTTGGCGCGCCACTGCAGCCATAGCTTGAAGATGTCATTGTGGCGTCCACATTGGATGACCTTATCGCCAGTGTCGTAGCTAATGTCGTAATGTTTGTCGGTCATAAACAGATACTCGGCCGACATTTGGTTGCAGCTGATGAGCAGGCCCTGCAGGAAGAAGGTTTTTGCTATCAATATAAATTGAAGAATTTTCTACTTTTTGCTCATAAGTCAAGTTGAAATTTTAATTAAAATTCCGGCTGCCAAAAGGCGCAACTGTGACCGATGGCAACATATTGCACAGAATATTAAAAAAAGAAAGAAAGGCCAATCGAGGGGTGGCTCTTACTGGGCGCATTTGCCGAACTAAACAGCAGCAACAGGGTTGTCAAACATTTGCTCACTCACTGTAGCTTTGGGCTGCGACAACCCCTGTGTTGGCGCTGTCTGACTGTCTGTCCGACTGTCGGCCCGTTGTTTGGCATGAAAAATAACAAGGAATTGTTCGCAACACAATTGGAATTCTTTAGACAAACAACAAACATTGTGATATGCACAAGAATGTATGGGGCAGTTGGACTGAAAACGATGGAAGAGCAGGTTTCAAATGAGAATAGCTCAACAAACAGTTTGGGAAAGGGTCAATTCAAGAGTCAATGGGTTTAACTATATTTATTAATCGAAAACTTGGCTTAGCTTAAAGCACATTTGTATTAAATTTAAAACAAAAGAGAAGCAAGCTATGGCTGATAAGCTTACAGCAACTTTGTCTAAGAGATTTATCTAGAATTAAGGTATATATTTTGTATATCCTTGCTACTTACATCTTCCTTGAAATGAATAGTCGAGCACTGGAGCAGTGCTCCCATCAGCTTGTGTGGATTCCAGGTAACAGAATCGGCGCTGCAAAAGTCAAATCATAACGTGCGACAATATATTAAATGACATTCAATTACAAATTACAAACAATTAACACTAAGCTGCCGCGCTATGTGGTCTGTGTAGCGACTTACCAACCCCTCATTGAGAGTCGCACCCCCCGCAAGGACAACGACAAGGACAAGAGCTATACGGGCAAGTGCCATAAATTGTGGCAATTTCAAGCCGCAGAGCTTTAATTGAATTCAAAACGAGCGCAACCCCCAAAGCCCGAGGGCTCGACTGTCGCCGCTAAACATCCCCCTGGGGAAGCTATTTACAGTTCAGGCCGGCGGCTCGTGTGGGTGTCTATAAACATGATGCTTATGGAGTGGCAGTGAGTAGGCTTCAGGTTGAGTGGCGGCATGTGGCGCATGCCACAAATTTTATCAGTGCTTGTGCCTGTGCTTGTGCAACTCGAAGAGTACGAAAACTTTGCAATTGTTTTAGGCATTTCCACAAGCTCAGCAGAATTAAGAGCCATCTCCTAGCGGCTAGGACCGATGCTATTAATCAACTTGGGCTTAGCTGTCAGCTGCACGCGCATTTAATGATTAATTTATAGAGCGATTGTGAGCCGTTCAATTAGGGCCCACAATTTGCATGCCAAGATCTGGTGGCAGAAGTATTCACAGCCAAATGGCATGAATGGCCACTTGATGGATGGGGCAATCAATTTGAAAGTGTTTATGGGACACTGCCTTGACCGCAAGCTGTCAATACGACAGCTGCAGTGGCGACATTTGCCTAAGCTGTGCGGGATTTTCATTTATGGGTGAAGGGGGGAAAACGGTTGGTGTCGCAAAGTGCACTTAGGTACTTCGATTTTAACTTTAAAATTAAAAATTCCCTGCAAAACAATCTAGAGATGCAGCCGCCTGCGGCCTATTGTTTGGCGTAATTGTTGTGTAAGTAATGCCCACCACCCATCCACCCATCCAACCATTCGGCCGTCCTCCATCCATCAAGGGATGGCAGAAGGGTGGCCGAATGAGTGCTGCAAGGGCGCGGGTTGTATATCCACTTTGTTCATTTGTTTGTCTTTTACGTAGACGAAAGTGCACTCGGCTTTGGGCCTTGTAATCCCTTTAAGCTCTGAACACCTGATGGAGGCACTAAATGACAAATTGAGATTTTTGCCACATGTCGCTGAGGGCTTGCCCCTTCGCTGGTGTGAGTACATTGAGTTTTGAGCGATGCGGGCCATTTGGGAGCATTTAGATTTAAATTTGCACAACAAGAGATTTCAATTTTTGTTTTGACTGCCTGAACATGAGGGCAAAAGAACAAGGCCGAACAAAGAGCCAGCCCAGAAGATGAATGAGAAAAGTTATTGTATGGGACATGAAGACCTGAAGATATGATGATATCTAGGCATGCTTGTCGCCAGGCTCATGGAATTTAAAATTAATTTCCAACATCTTTATAAAAATTGATTACTTGCAGAATTTGTACTTTTTATAAAAACTGTCAGCATTGGGAAACATATATTTGTGTATATAGTATAGCATAGAAACAGACAAGTGGACATGGCAGTTATTGCTGCATACATATACCTTATGGGGTCGGGAATGTCTCGTATGCGTTGCAAATTTCATTCATAAAATAATGATAAGCTCAACATGCATGTAAAAAACATATACTACTTATATTTAGTTCGAAAATTGATATAGGGTATCTCCAAGTCGGGCACTTCTCACATAAAACACTTTTCCTCATGTATTTATGTTATTTTACACATTTTTAATAAGTTCTGGATATAAACTAAACATTCAATTTATATAGTAATTTAAATACTTAAAGACATTGAGGCTGATAAGCTTTGACCCAAGAAAATAGACATAATATAGAAATTTGCCCAAGGTCGAAGGCAATTGTGAAATAGCTGATAAAATGAATGCATTGATTATATATATGCCCATAATATACAATTTTCTGAAATTAAAATAACCAGAGGTTTCTGTGCTCGCACGCTGCACAGACTAATTTAGTCGCGAATGAATTTAGCTGTGCGAAATTGAGTGACATTTCAGATCTATAATTCAAAATGCAAATATACCTTAGAGTGTTTGGCATAATTTTAATTTTCTTATTAAATAAAGTGAACCTTATAACAATGGAAGAAACGGTGAGAGTGTGTGCCTCAATACAGTTCATCTTTTTACATCTAATGGATATTCATTTATTAGAGCTGCACTGTTTTTAGTAGTAATATGGATATACAATGCGGTGGCTACTGCTACAAAATTGTAAAGACTCTTCTTGAACATGCTACTTCCGTTTATTTAAAAGAAAAAAAATATACAGAATTGGAAGCTATAATTCATGAACAAAAACAAGTTATCAATTATATGGAGACACAGGAACTTATTATGCAGGCAAATCTTACTTTCCATAGAGAAACTATTAAAAGTAAAGATATGCAATTGGCGCTTCAACTTGAGCTGATAAACTCATACACAAGAAATAGTGTAAGGGACAGTACTGAAAAAGATTTGGAAATACTTCAATTAAAATCTTTGATTAATGACAAAGACCTTCAGCTGAACAATCTGAAAAAACAAATTACATCGAAGTGCTCAGTTCACGAAGATCTATCTAAATCTCCTAGCTGCCATGGCAAATCGACTGGAGTGTACATGATAAAAGTTTCCGAAATGAAGACTATCTCCGTAGTCTGTGACTCGGACATTGCCGGTCCCGGATGGATCGTAGTACTACGCCGGATTAATGGTGGAGTGAGTTTTAACCGAAACTGGGAGGAGTATAAGGCAGGCTTTGGCGACCAGCAAGGAGAGTTCTTTATAGGTTTAGAGAACCTCCATCTACTGACGCAATCAGAACCTCACGACTTATATATAAGCCTTATGTATTCTGAATCTGAATCTCGGTTCGCCCGCTATAGTAATTTTCTCATTGGAAATGAGGGAGAATCCTATAAGCTAAAAAAGCTTGGAGAATATTCAGGAAATGTGGGTGACGCCTTCAGATATCATGAGCATATGAAATTTTCAACACCAGATCGTGATAATGATTTGAGCCTGCGAAATTGCGCCAAAGCTCTCAATTCTGGATGGTGGTTTCATAAGTGTTATACCTGGTAAAAAAAAAAAAAAACATTTTATAAATATGCATGGGCTTGCCTGTTTGAGGTCCGATTTTTTTTAAACAAAAAAAAAAACAATATTTTTTCCGACTTGCTGTTGAAGTACATTGGATTTGAACATAGCAATCGCGTTTTCAAAAAAGAATATAAAAAATCGTCACCTCGAAGCGTTCAAGTGAAAATTCGTCAATAACAATACATTTCATTTACATTTTAAATATATTTTTGTCTTATATTAATCTAAAGCAATCTAAATGGAGTATATCAAAAGGATAACACTGGTGAACTTGGAGTTCATTGGAAAACATGGCAAGGAAGATCGATCAAATTTGTGCAAATGATGATTAGGCCAACTTCTCAAGAATAAGGTAAGAATATTACCTTCTTGTTAAGTGATATTCATGGCTGCTCTCTCCCATACAAAGATCAATTTCAAAACTATTCATATATTTTCTGCGGACATTGCATCATTGAAGTAAAAAATTCTTTCATGATATCTTGACTCTAACACAAAAATGAAAACTAAAATGCATCACTTGAGATATATTTTCCATTTTGCAAGATAAGATTATTTAATCTTTGGCACGCTGAAGCTATCTGTTCTATCTTGTTATAGTTTGCTACCAACCAAGAATGATACCATTTAACAGCACTGGTTAACTATGGAATACATGAGGAAATATTTAGCTGGAGCTTTTTGAACATATATAAATATGAACCGAACTTTTGATATGAAATCTATAATTGTAGATTTTTTAAATATACACAATTTGTATAGTTTGTTTAACGTAACTTTTCTTAAACTATAAATAAATCATTTTTTATTTTTAATAATATGTGATTAGACTAGATAGTACTTACCGTTCAACGCCTGTGAATCTGGGATGGCGATGCTTGCGCGACATCAGCAATCCACCGCCCCAAGCAGCCTGTTAGAGCACGAACAGAAAACTCTATTAAATATTCAAGCTAATACCCAATTGCTACTCACATCAATGTGCATCCAGCAATTGTATTTCTGACAGATATCCGCAACAGTATTCAGATCATCAAAGGCTCCGAGCACAGTTGTGCCGGCCGTGGCATTAACAAAGAACGGAATATCGCCCTTGGCCTTGCGCTCGAGTATTAAACGCTCCAACTCGGAGGTGATCATTTTGCCATGCTCATCGGATGGCACCATGACGCAGTGATCGGTGCCCAGACCACAGACAGAAGCGCAAGATTTGATCGAATAGTGGCACTGATCCGAAGTGAACATGACCAAATTGCCGGGCAAGCCAGCCGAGCCATGCTCCTTGTAGTTGGGGAACATCTTGTGGCGAGCGGCCAAGAAGGCATACAGATTCGAAATGGAGCCGCCGGGCGCCAAAATCGAATCACCGCCCGACCAGCCAATGATCTCACGCATCTTGGTTAGCACCACGTTCTCCATGAGTATGAAAACCGGGGCTATCTCGTATGTGAACATGTTGGTATTGGCAGTGGCGGTCAACCATTCGCCAGCCATGGAGATCAGATCCAAGCCGTTCGACAGCTGATTGAAGAAGTGCGGATGGCCTGTGGAGCAGAAGTTTGGGTTCCCTGTTTAATGTAGCTGAAAATGCCTTCCGCAATTTCGACATGGCTGTCTGTCAACTGGAGCCGGTTAAGCTGACAGCAGATGTGCCTGGCAGCTGTGTTGCCATCTCCTGTGCCACACTTTTTTGTTTTATTAAAAATATTTCAGCTGAAACAAAGCAACAATTCGCCCACCCCACCCAAGCACGGCTGACTGGCGTTCAATACAAGGCCGGATGTGCATACGTTCAAGGGCAGACGAACCGACAAACATTTTTTGAAGCTCCATTCGGGGTCAGAAAAATCAATAGGGCCGAGTTCTTAAAGCGCTTGCCTTGCCCATTGTAAGCCCACCAATCTTGATGTGTCTTAAACTGTTCATTTATTGCAGCTAATTGCGACTTGCTGCGACTGCTCGGGAAATCCCACGAAAAATCACAAAATGCTTTCAGTACAAACAGCGGGAAAGAACGGCATCAGGAAGCTGTCGAAAGCCCCTCGCCAATGTGTCCTGGCCAGCGAACCCTTCGCTGCTGGGCTCTGGGCGTCTGTCAGTTCACATCTTGAGTGCCATAAGTCGTGTGATTAAAATCCCATTCGCCACAAGGCTAAATCCACCCACACACCCCCACACACTCCCAGACTCTCAGACGCACACAATACATACACACCTAGTGTATAAAAGCGTCGGCATTCAAACATTTCAATTTGCGCATGTGGCCGCAGTTGTTGCCACGACTCAGGACTTTCGCGTCACAGGACCTGAGTCACCCTCGACCTAGACACGAGCCAAGACTGCCAGGCAGAGCGTCAGGCAGTCAGTCATTCATTCGCATCAAAGGATCAGGAATGCAGCCAGTCAGAAAATAACAACGGATTTTGATTAAAGCTTCCCTTTTTATAGAGTCGTCCAGGAGCGAACGATAGACAGAAAGCCTCCTGGCACTCGCCCGGCCATATCATGTTTCCCCAATGGCAGGGTGCGCATTATGTGAGATTATGGATCATAAATGGGATTTTTATCATGCCAGTTTACGCAAAAATGTGCTTGTGCTACGAAAAAGAAAATTCCGCCAATGCGAATATGTGAAAACTGTTTTTTTTTAAAGAAGTTGTGAATGTAAATCTGAGAAAAGACATGTTACAAGTTCGGAAACCTCGGTTCAGGTGTTTGTCTAGTTCATCTAAGATTTTTCCAAAACACACATTCTTTCCCTTATAGCACAGTCTGTGCTTAATTGTATTCATCAAGCAGTCAAATATAATCAGGTCCTTGTTTATTCAGCTACTCGCTGATTGTATCGCCATGCCAGGCGTGCCTTCAACCAGTTTTAATTCAATTTTCAGGCAAAAGAAATAAACCTGTGCTGTATCCCAGCGCTTGCTACAAGCCAGCATAATTTCCTGCATTCACAAAGTGGGCGGCGGGAGACGGAAGCTCACGCAGTTTCCTAGACAAGGCCACAGTTTCCGGGGTTGGGTGATGCTTATTATCGATACTCCAAACAGAATTGCGGTCACGTGCGCGCTCCTGCCAATGTCCTGGCCGCCCCTTGCATTAATTTTCAATGAAATCAGGCGCATATTCACGTTCAATAAAGAAAAACCAACAAAAAGCGAAACGTGCGAATGACTTTTGGCTGCTAAAGCCTCAGTCAGAACCCTTTGGCTGATTTATGATTGATGGCAAGTCAGATTTGGAGATTTAAGTTCACATCGCGTTGGCTCGGGCGAGTCGAGAGGAGTGTTTTTGAAAGGTGTTGTTGTTATTATTGCTGGGACGAGCACAGCTCAATGGGCCATAAAATGGTATTGTCTGTTGCGATGTCCTCGAAGCTAATGTGCTTATCTACAAGGCTGCACACTTTGTGCCCTAATGCGACCGCAAGTTCCTCGGGCACGCGCCCTGTAAAGTATGTTTCATCCTAACAAGCATATGCTTTGTGTTTGCGGCCTATGCAAATTTATGCAGAGACAAATTTGATTAACACCGTCTGGCTGACTGTGCAAACATATGATAAGCTACCCCTGGGAAAGGACAATCGCACCCAAACCACGCCGCACTTACCCGTCTTCACTTGATACTTGAGCGTTGTGGCACAGTCCTCGATCAGCTGCTGGAGCGGCAGCGCCCGATCCGGCACATCCAAGTCGAGCAGACGCTTCATGTCCTCCGGATGATGGAAGTCCAGCACCTTCTCATTTCGATCGTTCGTTGCCTTCACAAAGTCCAACAGCACATCGATAACCTTCAGCAGAAATTCACGTGTCTCAGCTCCAGCACTGACTGTCGTGGGCATGAGATCTGGATAAGGAAAGGCACAAAAAGTGAGGATTAGAGCTCTCCCTCTTACTCTCTCTCTCTCTTTCTTAAACTCTATCTCTTATCGTTGGACATAAAAAATGGTGGCGCGTGCACTGCTGCTGACAGTCTAAATGACTTTTTGCCTTATCTAGCCACAGTACCTTGTTATGATATATGATTATTATTGTGATGATGATTTGTGGGCGGGCTTTGTTTGAAATTGAAACGGGCTGAGCCATAAAAAAAGATTTCATTTTAATACCCTATAAATGGACAGTGGCAATGGTATATGTTACGATCTTACCGATGTGTAACTCGCAACTTGACGAAATTCTTATGTATGTCTGCATGTGTGTATGTATGCATGCATGTATGTATGCATGTGTGTATGTAGGTGTGTATGTATGTATATATGTATGCATGTAAGTATGTATGTATGTATGTATAGGTCCATGTATGTATGTATGTATGGAAGTGAGTACGGATATATATATATTTATATAAATATGCATTAGTGTATATATGTTATTCCGTATGTAAGTGTGTGTGTGTATGTATGTGTATTTATGAGTCTTTGGATTTGTATATGAATGTGTTATATGATGGATTTACATAGATATGCATGTATTCAATATGTATGTGCGTCTGCATAAACATATGTGTGTATGTATATACGTGCATGTCTCTAAGTATATTTGTATATATCTGTATCATGTACGCAGGCATGCGTGGGTGTTTGTTTGCTTGTCTCTGTTTATAAATGTTTGTATGAATGTATGGATGTATATAAATATTCATGTATGTTTGCATTTACGAATACATGTGTGTACGTATGTATATATGTATACATATATATAACTGAATGTCTGCATATATTGTATGTTTATATGCAAGACCAAGTTAACTTGTAGTTGGGCTGCAAATAAAAAAAGGTGTTCTTAACAAATGCCCTTCTACTCGATTCTCATGAATTTAAGTAAGTCCTAGTCTATAACCATGGAGGAATCGGCGGCCTCAGCATAGAAGGAGGCGACGGCACCTTGAGCAAAGGAGGATACGAGGCCTCACCTATGAAGGCACCGGCGGTGTTATAATAGGAGGAGTCGGCTTCAACTATGGACGGCAGCGGCTTCAGCCTAGAAGGGAGCGGCGTCTACTTGAACAATAGAGGGACGGCAGCTTAAGGGAGGCCTCAACGATGAAGACATTGATGTCTTTATTATTGGAGGATGCGGCTTCAACTATGGTGGAGACGGCAGCAGCTTCAGCCTAGAAGGAGGCGGCGGCTGCTTAAAATAATGGAGACGGCAGCTTGAGCAAAGGAGGAGGCGAGGCCTCACCTATGAAGGCAGCGGCGATTTTATTATAGGAGGAGACGACATCGGCTTCAGGAGGCGGCTGCTTGAACAATAGAAGGACGGCAGCTTAAGCAAAGGAGGAGGCGAGGCCTCAACTAAGAAGACAGTGATGGCTTAATTATTGGAGGAGGCGGCTTCAACTATGGACGAGAAGGCAGCAGTTTCTAGAAGGAGGCGGCGGCTGCTTGAACAATAGAGGGAGGGCAGCTTCAACAAAGAAGGAGGCGAAGCCTCAACTATGAAGACAGCGGTGGCCTTATTATTGGAGGACGCGGCTTCAGGAGGAGGCAGATCATCAACTATGCAGGCGCGACTTTGATATTGGAGGAGGCGGCTTAAACTGTGGAGAAGATGCCGGGAGCTTGAACAACAGCAGAAAACAACGGCTTTAACAATAGAGGATGCGGTGACTTTACTATTGGAGGAGTTGACGGCTTGAGCACAAGAGGAGGCGTGACTATTTTGCCTATTAAATAAACTTGTATGCAAATATCCCTATGTCTTATTATATGTAACAAACATTATATATACAAACGCTTGCATTTATGTATGTATTCATATATGTGTATTTATTGGGCTGAGCTAAGCTGTCATTGAACAATTAACGTATTTATAAATGTAACTCTACTACACGACTTTCACTAATTATCATCTCTGCATTTCTTTTTTTCAGTGTAAAAAAGCGTGTTTCCCGCCTACTCATAGATGACGATAATATATTCATTTTCTGGTGAGTATGTAATTCAAATATATATTTATCTTTATATATATAACTTTTTGCGCTGACTGATTAAATTAATGTAGTTACCTTTTATGACGAGGGTACACGACAAGACGGGTTATGGGAAATTCCATCCGCAAGTGTGGAAATTTAGCGAAATGTTATGGAATGAATTGTTTGACAAATGAACTATTATAAAGAAAACTAATTTTTTAACGTGCCTAAACCAAAAAACTTCTACATATATATATGTCTGAAGAATTAAGTAAGGATATATACTACGGCAGTTAAAAAGTAGATGCAGGGTATTTCCTAGTTGGGCACCCATGTCTAAAGCATCACCTAGTGTACCCAAACGGTGAAACATTTGGGCTTTAATGGTCCGCCGCCATATGCTGGCTCAAGCTAAGGTTTTTGGGGGTGGTGCACAACCCGGACAAGGTTGGATCACAGCGTGTGGCTTTACTGGGTGTCCTTTGCTGCGGTTGCTGCTATTAATTGCCTGCCTTAATAATAAAATTAATGTTGGCCACTGAGATACCAATAAGAGGGGCTACGTAGCTGTCTTCTCTTTCTTTCGCAACACTTGAAATCAATTGGAAAGTTAACGTTGCGCATGATTGCCATTAAAAGCGCATTTCGTGAAGCCTGGCAAGTTTCTATTTAAATGGGCAGCGGATAAACCCCACCAGGACACCAGACAAATTGTAGCAATTTCAAAATTCCTCAAGTTTATAGCAAAGTTAAATAAAATTTAATGTGTTGCGCTGTGTCGTGTGCGCTTAATGTCAGATACAGCCGTGGCCAGCGCTCTCAGCCTCAACCCCGACAACAGATCCTGATCCTTCACATACATATATATGTACGTGTGTACTTATGTGCTCCATCCTGCTCTGACATGTAAGCGTGCGTAATATCCTGTGACTAAACGGTTTATGTTTGTTGTGCTTTCAATTTCGGGCACGCGTCTGGCAGCACCTTTTGCCATGTGTCCTGCTACTGGTCCTGGCTCCAGATTGGTGGTGGCTGCCTTTGACTTTGGGTCGCCCGCGCGTCTGTCTGTACGACTGTTTGTCTGTTTGTTTGCTGGCCAAAATCTGTTACAAGGCATTCGCCAGTTTCACGCTCCAGCGAAGTCAAACGACGCAGCAATTTATCAAGGCCTCCTGCTTGGGCTGTAACTGGCAGCGAGTGTCCTGGACAGTCCTATGTGTTTGTCGTGTGTGTGCGTGCTTGTGAGACTACGGCCTTGTGGTTGTCCTCTACAGCGTTTTGTATGCGTGTGTCAGTTTAACACTCTCATTTATTATTTGCACAGCGAATAGATTTGTGTGCAGTTATGTTGAGAAACTGTTTAGACAACTATTTAAGATGATTATAGCTTATTATTACAATCTTTTCCGAGTACTTTGTGTCGGTCCAAGCAAAATAGCGCGGCATCAATCCATTCTAATGGATATATGTCTCATTAATTATTAAAAATATTTTATGATTGTTGTGTACAACTGAGGCAAGTTTTACAAAAACGATTTTATATGGGCTTCGAATAAAAAATATCGATTGGAAGTCTCGAAAACTCTATATCTCTGCTTATATACTTATATTCTTAAATTGATTTTTTGATATGTATTTATGATATTTCAAATTGTGAAGCCGTTGAAATATATCTATACCAAAAAAAATTAAAACAACCCATGTGTTTATAGTTTGAAGGATTAGATCTAAATACACATATATATTAACTATAAAATATTATATACATATTTATATATAAATCTTCAAACTATAAGCGCATGGAGTATTTTATTTTTTTGTAAATATATATTTTTCTATTTGTACTCACCATATGCCGTTAGTTTACCCGTCCTTTCGGAGAGTTTATACCCGTTCGGATTGAGTGACATTTTCTCCTCTGTAACATAGCAAAGAAGAAATAAATATTAGAACTAAATCTAGTATCGGTTTCGGTTCAATGAGCAAATGTTATGCAATTATATAAATAGAGGAGGGAAATATGCAAGGGGAGATGCATATGCAAATAGCAATGGCCAGCGAGATGTTACACAATGTCCGAAAATTACATAACCAAGACCAGGGAAAACTGCGTGAAAATGCAATGGGCGAGTAAATAAACAGAAAAGAAACTGGAAGCAGACGTTGGGAAACTTTCAGCTGGGCACAAGGACAACTGAAGGGCAAAATCAGTTAGTGAGTGTGGGTGGCACAGTCTTATATATAAAGCAAGCAATGTACACAGATTTCATATGCTAAAATAGGAGACTGGGGCAGCAGATTTGTTATACATAAAGCTGAGCAACATCTGCAAGTGCGCAGTGAGTGTTGAGTTTATTTCCTGTGTATGTGGGTATCGGTATTTATATACTCAGAATATAAGGATACAGACAGACCTTAAACCTGGACTTAGCTTATATAACAGACACTCGGATAAAGGGTATTCATACTATTTTGAGTGTGTTTACAAAATAGGTAGACGCTGTTTATGTGTTATATAGGATATCTTACCGATTATCCTGCGGATATCGTCGATGTATTGCTTTAGATAATTCACTTTGGCTGCTTTGTTGACAATTACGTGTGAATAGCGAAAATGTGCGATAGTAAACAAGAATAACAACAAATGGCGTTTGCGATCGAGCGAGTGCGAAATGAGCGTTAGGTTAAGTTAATTAATTGACTAGTTAATATAGGTTGTGGTTCAGTTATCTCATAGATGACCTGGAATGCGATAGATTTTGTGGCATGTGCAACTACTGAATGTAACAGCTACAACTTACAAATCTCGTTTATACAACACGCGCGCAACTGTAAACTGCGAACTGCGAACTGCAAACTGCAAACTGTATACTCTTGACTGAACTGAACCGAACGGGACGGAGCCACTTGACTAACTGTAACGATATAGTTGCGATATCTGACAAACTTGTGGATGCTTGCAAAAAGCAGCTACACTCGCTGACGATCTGCGGAGCTATGAGCAGCAGCATCCGTTTGGGTTGCCTACGAAGCTTGCGATGCTACGCACAAAATGGCTGCCCACCTACACACCTAAAATCACACACCCACACACACACACACACACACACACACACACACACACACACACACAGAGCCAGCAGCTCATATTTATATACAACAACATTGAGCTGTGTGTTGCATAACCTTCACAACAGCAGAGACATTCCCAGCAGCTATGTATGGGCATTTCGTATATATGCAGATTTGTAAGCGTGTTTGGGCGCCAAAGTGCGCAGGCAAGCGATGTCGATGACGTCACAAGATTTTTTGGGCAACCATCTTGGCACTCTATGCTGCATATATGTGGGCGGAGCTACATTTATGGGCGGCAGCGTATCCACGTATCCAACAGATACATACTCAACGCAGGAGTCGCCATTGCGCAAGCCTGGCGCGGCAATGTCGCCCCCACTCCCAGCTTTACCAGCATGAAATCCATGTATGTGTGTGTGTGTGTTATTTAACAATTTAAGTGCCAGGCGTTGCTGTTGCTGTTTCTGATATATATTTTTTTGTTAAGGCATTTTGTCTGTTTTTGCTATGTGATGTGGCAGAATGAAAAGCTAATTAACAAACTAATTTTCTAACTGTTTTTGACATTTACAATGGCAAAAGTTTTTTATTGCCATTTGGCTAAAAGAAAAACACAATTTGTGCAAATATGTAAAGCCAAGTTTTTCATGGACTTACTTTACATAAAAATGGTTACAAAAAACCAGCATTTACACACATATATACAGACATATGTGTGGGTCCTTTTAGCACTTTATGGATTTTTCAAGGCACGCAGAAATTTGGGTCAAAGCAGAAAAGAAAAAAAAATACACTAACACCTACACAGCTTTTGGATACATAGATACATTTTACAAAATGGCCGACAATTGGCCCAGGCCCAACCCACGCAGTTCAATTGCATTACGTGCAACTGAATGATTTCCATAGCATACTTTTGAGTGGCACATGGCGTAACTTATGTAACACTGAACGATGCTTGCCACACTTTAGGCTTCCAGTTGAGCACAATGAAAAAAGGTAGAAGGAACGAAGGGAACTGCCTACACTTTTGACCAAGTTACCAACACAAACAGCGGCCAAAACGTGTCTTTGTTAACTTAGTTTTCTTATCTGAGAACATGCAGGCGACATTTTTGGCATCGCATTTGTCCCACAAAACGTAGTTAAGCCTTTAAAAGCCCTGCTGTTTTTTTGTGTATCCATACTTGACATTTCAAGGACTTTTCGGTGCTGAGCTCTAATTAACTTTAGTTGCTTTGTGTGCTGTCATTACTAAATAAGCCAAGTGACGAGAGTATCGTAGCTCGAATCTTGTCCAAAGACCATTTTAGGCAATTCCATTTATAGGTTTAGTGCTATTTACTAAATGATGTTGCAAATGATTCTCAGTATTTACAAATTGCACAATCACCGTTTAAACACTTTGAAACTTGAAGAAACATTTGTATAGCTGCGAAGACGACTGGGCTATAGATATTTTATTGGCCTTTTAGTGACCTAATTAGGCAAGACAAGTATGAAAATACAGTATGAAACCTAGTTTGCCTAAGGCAAGCATATATTTATAATCATAAAAGCATGTGTCGTCCCATAACTTATCTATGTATTGAAAAATGGTTGGACACCTGACAACAATAGAAGTCATTACACAACTTTGCCTAAACCGAGTCAGTCTTCAATTTTTCTCCCATTTTTCACGCGGAAAACCAAATTGTATTCATCTTATAAGCGTTAAAACTGTGCACTTATTAAAATGTATAGCTTTGCTTATTATATTATATTTTTCGCCTAATAATTGTTATCTGCTGTAATAATTGACAGGCTGTGTTATCGGGCAAAAGCGCACTCGAAACCCAAATGCTACCAATAATAATTAACTACTCCTGGTTGCGCTTATCTCTGATCAAAGGCAACAACAGAGCCAAAGTGTCAACTAAGCCAACATGTGTCAAAAATCAACACAGCCAGAACACTCTAGGCCCGAGCTCTATAATTTTAGCCGACCATTGTGCGCTGATAGTGCTAAGTATTATATACGTTTAGATAAATATTAATAACAAATAGCTTTCGTTGTGGATCCGCTGAGCTAAACGCGACATTCAGTTTGTTACCAGCTCACATTTCAGTTGGTTTTTAACTATTAAAAGATGAGCGCATTTTGCATTGAGCCCAATTTTGATTTGAGCATTGATACACGAAGCACATAACAAGTGAAATAAATTAAATTCTATTTATTCAACAAAATAGATACAACTATATTCTGTTTGTATGCTTTTCAAGTGAAAAGTAAGTAAATAGACCACAATTCAGTGTTCATAAATTATCTTGCTTAAAAGAACATTTAGACTTTCTCAAATTCTACTCATTTATTTTGAGTTAATATTATATATATTTTAATGTTCGTTACTTGATTGATCAAGTTAATTATCCACAAACTGCTCTGGTATCTAGTCAAGAATGCGAAGAAATTAAAATTTCTAGTTTAATTAATTAATTAACAATACATTTTTGTGGCTCGGCCAGAGAATTCTTTACTTTGGCCATTTACCCTGCCGTCAAAAGCAGAAATCCATTTATGTACTGCTTATGTACTTGCTGTAAATATTTACCTGGTTGTGTTTGCACGTAGCGCAGATAGGCTCGATATCCCAAAAAGGCCAAAATGTTTAAATCGTTTTTAAATACCCAAATTCCTCACACCCACACAATGCAAAAACCTTACGATAGCATCGCAGATAAATTACAAAAGTTAATTATATGGCCGACTAAGCTGCAAAGTAAATGCACGAAAATATGCTCAAGCCAGAGGGGACTGTACCATTTATTCACGCATCCGCGCTCGCTTGCAACTTTCAACTGTGGCCTGGATGAGCTCCAGGCGGAGTTTCCAACAACAACATAGTCTACAGCGAAATTCGTGAATTAACTGGTAAACCACGTGATATTCTTGGAAAAATCAATAGTTTAGGATAATCAGCCAGCGAGATCTAGGCTGCACCGATGGCGAAAAGAGGAGGCATATGAAAATCCTTTGAATTGGGCAAATCAAGCGCATAAAATTTCAATTGCAATGGAACCGCCAACAATGAAAGCTATGCAACGGCGCTTTGTTGCCTACTTTCAGGCGCGCGATAATTGCATTTTGAGCGCAATTGCTTCCATTGTGCCGAAAGGACTGCACCTCCGGCTGCCCACACGGAAACACACACACACACACACGCATACGCACACCTAGAAGTCATATCAAGTATACCACATGCAGCACGGCCATGACTGTTTTCCCTTTATATATGCTTTGCTCTTCACACACGCTGTCTCTCTCCGTCTCTCTCGCTGCAGCTGAGGTCCTCAGCATGTTTCGAATGCTATTGGTTATTGCCGCACTCTGCTGTGCGCAGGCTCACAGCGCCGTGACGTCACAGCACCCACGACTGCTACAGGCTTTGGGGGATGCTACAAAAGCGCTGCAAGCAGCACAGCAAAGCCTTGAAGAAGCGCTGCGAAAGGCACCGTCGCCAGCTCTGACGTCCGTCAGCGTAGTTCAGGATTGGAGTTTGGTGTGTAAAGAGCTCTGCGGGTAAGTCAAGAGTTTCCAATGAAGTTTCGCCTGCAGCCAGACCAGACCGGATCAGGCCAGGCCAAATCTTATCCATATCAGGCATCTAAGTGTTTCGGCTGTGTGCGTATAATTCAGTGTGTACATATTATTTTCAAAGTCGATAAGCATACGCGAAAGGTTGTCAAAATGATTGACAAACTAGTGAAATCTATTTGAACATTTCTTGATGCCTTGTGACGAGTGAAATATGTGAAGTTTCCGAGTGCTGGGAAAATCCAGATAGCTAATCGACAGTGGCTGTGTTAGCCAAATATGCGAAGCACTTGGCCTATATCTATTCTAGTTTCAAGTGCTAACACGTTCGACATTTTTTTCTTGTTGTTTTCGATTCAATTTTCAGAGCTGGCCTCGGCGTAGCGCCATGTGCGGAATACTGCGCCAAGTCTGGCAAAGTAGAGGCAATAAAGGTACTGAACAAAGATTTTGATTTGGCTAAATGCGTGCAACTGCCTGGATCGCCAACAGGTAAGAAAATTTTTTTATATTATTATAGTCGGCTTATAAGTAATATTTTGTAAAATGATTTGGAATGAATTGTAAATTAGCATTTTATTTCTGTGCCAAAACTCATAGAGGAAAACTTCTACAAACCCATTAAGTATATATTGATGCTTGATCAACAGCCGAGTATAGAAAAGTCTGTCTCTTTCAAAGCAAACTTCTCTCTCTAGGTCAAAGTTTCGTCTTTGTGTTGCTGGCAGTGCGATGTACGCATATTGGGCCTATATATCATATAGACTGATCAACAAGACTATATTATATAGACTGATCAATAAGACTGATTAGCTAAAATTAAAGCCTTCTTGTTCTGCGACATCTGTTGATCTAACTCGGCGAGCTTCCTGTGAGCGTCGGAAAAGCATATCATATATCTCTCTAAAAAGAATTGGTCATAAAATGACTTGCATAGAAAACTTTTCTGCTTTCCAATATATCTTCACCAATTTTTTTATTTGCGAACTTTATTGTTCTTCTAAAATATTCTACAAACCCATATAAAATTCTATATTCTAATACTATATCTATATTTTAGATAAGCAAATAAATACTCTTAAACGAAAATTAAGTTGAGATGTTATTTTTGAACACGTTTAAGTTTTCTTTTTTGAAATACATACAAATGTTGCTGTAAAGTAAATAGTACAAATTCATATTAAAATTTCATTTTGTAATATTTAAATTAATTAATATACTATAGATATTTTTGTAAACTCAATTTTGTGATCAAGTAGAAAAGCATGCGGAAGTGCAGTGAGATTTATGATATACTTATCCCATATACTCTAGATTCTGAGTGCAATACGGTTGAGTCCGTTCAGTCCTATGGCACTCGACTGTGTAAAAGTTATTGCCACCAACGACAACGCACGCTGAACGGTTGCAGTCCTTGCCAGTTGCTGGATGTTTTGGACGAGGTCAGTACAGAGCAGAGTGTGACTACACATGGTTCCGGTGAAGGCAAAGCCAGGCTAACTGAGGTGCCGGCCATGGGCAAAATAGAGGCCAGCAGCACAGACGATGGTACGCCGGACTGGGACGAAATGTGCAAGGCTCTCTGCAAAACTGGCGATGGCGGGTCTTTGTGCAACTGTGATTTATCGCCGTTTTTCACCTGAGCCCACAGCTTAGATGAAGGTACATAAATCACAACTATATAATATTTCTGTTGTTACTTTGTTGTACACTAAAATATACATTTTGATTTTCTTTGCCGCACTCTGCGACAATTTCCGTTTGTGTTTATGCTAGTGTTGTCTTTATATTCACTGTTGTTAATTGCGAAACTTTTGTTGAATTGTATAAAAGTAAAGGCAAAAACTAAAATCTATATAAAAATACAATTATATGTGCGGTTCACAAGGCCGCCGCGAGCAAAAAACAAAATGAAATTCCCTATGCGAATCAATTAATTTGTAATTAATTTCAATTAAAAACAAATATAGCAAACTAAATAAGCAAAAAAACGAAAAAAAACCAACAAAAAAAAAAACACAAATAAGCAAAACATAAAAATCAATACTTCAAAATTAAAGTTCTCAGCTCGTAGGAGAGAAACAGCAAAAATCACAAAAGGGCTTCCAGTGCGGCATTGGCATCCATGGGATACTGTTAATTCGGTTAGCCAGATGCAGATGTCAGCACAAATAAAACCTAAGGATTAGTTGTAGCATCCGCCAGTTGTGCGGAGGGATGGAGCAAAGCGTAGAAATCACAACCAATTAATATCAAAAATACACAACATATCGTCGTAAACCCAATTATTTACATTAAAAAACACGCTACAAAAATAAAAAAATAAACTATTATAATATCAATTTTTGTTTAATTAATGGAATCAGCATATCAATTTAACAATGGCAGAAGAAAAAGTTGATAAACATTAAATTTTCAAAAATATATCTATAATTTTGTCTAAAATACAAATCAGCATCAATTATGTGTAACAATTATAAATGTTAACCAAGTGTTTAGTGTTGGCTATTGAACAACCCATATGAATGAATCAATATATATATATGCATACATATGAATATACATATATAGCTAATTTGGTCTATAAAAAATGAGTTGCGATTGCAAATCAGAGGCTCATATTAAAGAAAAGCGACCCAACGTTTTTCGCGGAAGACATTAATTAAATAAGTGTATTTACTGCAAATATCTCGATGTGCATAACTATATATAAACATATATTTATATATATATATACATATATATATGTATTATATACCATAAAATATTCTATATATGCTAAAAAATGTTTGGAAGACATTTTTTCGCATTGTTTGAAAAAGAAGACAATTTCAGCAAACAACAACAAGCATTTTGGAAGACATGCGTCAATTGCAATATCAACATCTCTTGCAATTTATTTCTTAAGAGCTTAAGCATAGATTACCAGGCAAAAATAAAAAAATATATTAAAACACTTTCATTTATTTATATTTAAAGGCTAACACACGTTGTTGTGTCGAACGCGACGCTGTGACAGACAATAATTAAATATACAATAACATGAATGTTTTAAATGTGTCAAGTTTTCAATAACATCATTGGCTACACTGAAATTAAAGCGTATATACATGTTAGAAAAAATATTTATAATCAGGCACTTCTTAAATGTTTGTAATTGCACAATTAGTTACGAAAAAAAAAGGAAAGAAAGAAAATTGCAGCAGAGATTAGAATTTTTCAGAGCACACTTGTTTAAAATTTACTGCGGCTTCAATATATCAATGTGTAGCAAGTTAATAAGAAACAGTATCAATATTCATTATAATCTAGTATATCGTAATGCACTTTACATTTATGTATATGTATATGTTAGGTGTTGCGTTTCTGCCATGAATACAGCGGCCAAAAATCACTGAGTTTCAAAAGTAGCTCAAATAATAATGCATACTTTAAAATTATAATAAATAAAAAAAATTTAATGAACAACATCATCATCAATTACGAAAAAAAAAAATCAAAAAATTCCAAAAAAGTTTTTACGTTTCAGTTCCAGTTATTGGCATAGAATTGATGCCAGAGTGTGTAACATCAGCAACAACAAATATAACTATTATTAATACAAATTAGCAGAAAAATATATAAATATTATTGCAAAGACAAGCTTAAATAGGTTAGTCAAAATCCATAAACTGTAAAACAACCGAAATGAGAAACTTAAAGACAGCCACATATTAATAACCATATTACTGAACAACCCTACATAAAAGTCAAATAAATATATATTATGTGTTAAATGTTGTAAAGCCCCTCTAAAATTCGAGTTTTATTTTAAAGTGTACCAATAATAAAGACAGAAGAAACTTTTGCCTGCAAACCAATTGCAGTAACAATAGTTTTCTGTTTTTTTTTTTAACTTTCATCTAACTTGGGAAGAAGTTACCGATGTTTTGAAATGGCCGAATATATATTAAAAAATATATCATTATCGGATAAAAATTTAATGTCTTTGAACGCACTTTGGTCAATACTCCAATCACACGATTTCTAGCCGTAATGGTGTTAGAAACAATTTGGATCCCTTTTTCATATTGGGAATGTCTATTAATATTAAGAACATTAATATAACAAATCCGTTCGGAATAGTACAAAATTGTACTGTTTGGCCTTTTATCGTTTTGGTATTTGTCCTAACTAAGTACTAAAACACTTTCAGCTTTGCCATGCGCTACGTACGATAATGAACTGCATTTGGAAAGAAGTTATCAATGTTTTGCAATTTATGAAAAATTTTGAACAAAAATATATCTCAATCGGATAAAAATTAAATAATTTGCATTCATTATAGTATATGTATCACAATCGTAATTCTTATTGCATTGCACTTCTTAAAATGTAATACCCGTCTTTAAATCCTTATCCTTATATTCGAATCATAGTGATTATGGCCCTTATGTTGAATTAATGTTTAATTCTTTCCCATTATGAATGTGCATTAAAATTATATAAATTCATATAAAAAATTAATATAACAAACCCGTTCAGAGTAGTATAGAATATTCTTTGGCCTTTTATCGTATTGGTATTAGTCCTAACTAAGTACTAAAAAGCTTTTCATCCAGCTTTGTCACGCACCACGTACGATAATGAACTGCTTGCTGTAATACGATAAGCAAGAGGTTTGAAGCGGGCCATTTTCCAGAATACAACGCTTAAGGAAATTTTTCAAAAATACACTGAACGAACCATTTTTATGAAAACAAAATTTCCATTGCTTTGTTAATTTATTTATTTTATTATTTTCATACGCATTTAAAAAAAAAAAGAAGAAAATATACTTAAAATGGACGTGTTTTTATAAGTATTAGTGTTTAATTGTGTTGTGTACAATTATTTAACAAAAAGGCTTGGCAAGCTTTAAAATTATGCCCATAATTCTCGTATCAAACATATTAACTAACTTATTAAAACAAGGAAGATGCAAGTATTGTGCTTTACGCCTTAGACGTGAGTTTCTTTTTACTTGTTAAGTACAAAATAAGGCTAGTGTGGCATTAAATGTTTTTACGATTTTTTCATTTGTTACATTGCTAATTTAACACATTTGCAATGCCGAGTGTAGAAAATAAGATTAAACTAAATACGCTAGGATAACGATCAAATTATTTAAAGGTAGCGTATAAATTCTTGATTAGATTATACAATGTGTAATAATTATCATATGCATATGTTACGTACGTTGTATATCTCACATATACGTATATTTCATTTAGCAAAAATTGTTGCTTATCCGACGCATATAAAAGTTAACATTATTACAGTTACAATTGGCAAGTTTAGTTTAAATATTTGTTGTTGTAATTCGTTAAGTTGTTAGTAGAAAATTTCGAGTCATTATATTGCTGAGTGTCTTTTTGTCTGGTCTTTGAGTTAAGTTTACCAACTATCCTCCAACTGGTATTTCTACTCTGAGGTCTACCAAGACCATTAGGTGTATTAGCTAATCGACATGCGATTAGATACACGTCTTCATCATTCGCCCGCCAATTCGTCAATGCGACAGCGCACAGCGTGTTCCAATACCTCTAGGCTGCCGTAGTCCAGTTCTTTGACCAGGCACAATGTGGCAGACAGTAAATTGGAGTTCTGGCAAGGCAGAGATGTAGATTCAGTTAATATACAAGTATCTCAACGGTTCATATTTAGTTACTCACTCGATTGACGGGCCGTCGATGACAGCCTGCAAAATGATTCATGACGGTGGCCGAAACTGTGCTAACCGCATCACTGTAGCGACCCTCGGGGCGCCTGCATAAAATAAAAAGTTGTTGATTACAAAGTGCTTTACGATTCACTGAGATTATCAGCTGAGCTTACCTAGATCTGGTGCGTTCCTCGACCTCCCAATCTCCGCCATTCTCCCGAGCACTTCCATTCCGATAAGCGTAACGCTCGGCTCCGGTCTCGGGGCCCGCGCTGCGTCGCTGCGGATAATGCAGCTGCATTTGGCTGCCGTATGGATTGTGATGCACCTGTGGTGCTTGGTGCTGATGCTCCTCCCATTCCGTTAGATCGGTTTGACTGTGACGATAATGCGCCGGATAAGTTGCCCGATCCGACTGATAGTATTCCTGTATGGGAAAGGAAGGAATACCATAATTAAAACGCGTAACTATTCTGGCTTAATGTCTACCATCCTTCTCCATCCATTCGTCTTTTTTATTGCGATGTTTACCTTCATCGAGTGTGAGGATATGCTAGGCGGGAGGGGCGTTGGACGCGTCTCTCTGTAGCCAACATGTGGACTCTCCTGATCAGAGCCCGGCGAGTGCTAATCGATGTGGTTATCGTTATCGTTGTTGTGTTGGTTAGTGTTGTGGTGCGTTTTTTTTAGTTGTGGGAGAGGAGCACAAAGAATTTGTTAGTTATGTTGCCTGCCACTTGAATACCAGACCATCTCGCATTTCAAAAAATGCTAAGCTTGTTGCCGTTGCCGTTGCCAAGCGCTGCAGAGTCTAAAAACATTTAAATCTCCAAAATGTGCTTAGGGCCGGGGGTCTAACCCCTTTTTATTATTCTTTCATTTCTTGTGAGATTGCTTGTTGAATACATAATGACCTATTTTATGAACTAGTCATGTTTCTCTTCTTGTCTCGGTTTCAGTTTCTCTCTGCTCGCCATTCGCTCAAAGTCAAATGTTGCTGTTGCGGCACGACTTAACCCAGAAACCCAAGCCCTCGCCCGACAATGGGCCGAGTGGATGGCTGGCTGGCTGGAAGTGAATAACTGAAGAACCTTAACCATGCCAGTGCCACATCGCGTGACTCGTTCACGCGTAACACGGCGTCCAATAGGGCTGAGGGCTCAAGTGTGACGTGTACACGCCCAAAAAACCCAACTAGCTACACGTTGACTAGGCTCGGCAACAAGCTCATCATTATAATATAAATGGTAAAATGGTTGGCTGATTTGCTAGGCTGCTTGATAGTATGAGGATCTTACATCATATTGATGAAAGGAAGTGCGTTGCTCTTTATTAATGTTATTATATTTGGGCGATGGCGGGTGCGCGGGTTCCTGGGAAATAGTTAAGAATGTGGAAAGCCAAATTTGTTAGTGTGTATACTCTTCTACTCTTTTTAGTCACTGTCTAAAAGAATAGCATATTTCAGCGGACCCAACTACTATGAAAAGTGGGGTTTTATTCCCATGATGTATAATGCGTTATGCAACACTGAACCAATGCTAATATAACAACAATCAACCAAGTCAACCTTTTTATTTAAAAAATATCATACTATGCTAGGCTTAGTCAAGAATATTTCCCAGTTTCCAGCTCATTTAATATATTATTTTAATTAATTTGAATTCTATTATCGGTTACTCCCCCGAGAACCACGCTAATTTATCTCACTCCCCGTCTGCCGCAGAACTCAATTAGGGCCAGTCATAAACAGCTCGGCCCGAAACTATTCGTTTGTTTACCTTTGTGGGTGTTGGGGGCATTGAGTTTTGCAATTGATTGCTATATAAATCGCTGACATTGGTTCCATCGCTGTTGTTAGCAAGCGGACTTGCTAATTGTGGCGGCTTGTTAATAATTAGGAAAAAATATGCTTTGTTAAATGCCAGGCGTTATTAGAACCAAAATTAAGGGGCGTGTTGTGAGTAAGTCAGTGTGTTAGACAGCCCACTCAATGTGACTGAGATTTGTCGAACAGCATTGGAATTCAGTTACCTCTTTCATGGGACTCGGACTGCCCCTCTGTGTTAGCTGTGGTTGCTGTTGTGGTGATGGCTGTTGCGGTGAGTGCTGTGGATAGCTTGGCGGCTGCGCCTGCTGCTGTTGTATTTGCTGGGGAGATGTGCGCTGCTGTTGCTGCTGCTGCTGCTGCTGCCTGGCCTCGTAGGCATCCTCATAGACATCCTCCTCAGCCATTTGAGAGCTGCTGTTGCGTAGGGCATCGTCCAACTCCTCCTGAGTGACCTCCACATTGTCGAGCTTCTTTAGGTTGGGCAATGCGCGTAGCACCATCGCCCGATAGCTGCAGTTCACAGATACAGTAGGTGTTAACTGTCTACTTTCCATACCAAACGCACATCTCACAATACTTACTTTGGTCCCGCACGCTCGCAGCATGGATTCTCCTCTAGCCACAGATATTTGAGCGCCGGTAAGTTTTGTAGGTAACCAATTTCATTGATATTTTGAATATTGTTTTTACGTAAATACAGCTCCTGTAGTTTAGTGCAGTCTTCAAAGGGTGCCAAAGTGCTGATCTTATTGACGCTGCAAAGAAATTACAATTTTGACTTATAAAGATTAGCTTACGGATAATATAGGTAAACGACGGTTTACAGCGGTATAAAACAATTAAAAATATTAACATTTGCACTCATATGCGAGCTCGTTTAACAGGGATTTTCAATTATCCGTAATAAGCTTGGTGCCGAACCTCACGGATAACAGAGGCTTAAATGCAAATGCATACGATATTGAATGTGGTTAATCAAATTCAAGATATTTTATATCGTATGTAAGAAATCTACTTTAAAAGAAATAGGTGAATAGCAGTTACAACTGCACCAGAACATTCTAACATTGTCATAGTCATTCTTTTCTTTCAGTGTGGTTTGTTTCCTTGTTAAGTGACAAAGACGCTCCGGTTAAGTGCCATGAATCATTTTAAAGTTATGCTGAGGCGGCGGCCACACAAAAGACACAAAAGATTTGGTAGCCAAGCGGCTGCTGGAAGAGGTCATTAACTCCGTGCAGTCAACTTTCTTTAAAAGGTTCTTAATGTGTACCGTTAGAGCTACCAGAGAATATGGCATATTGAGCTCTTTGCCAGCTGGGCAATAATATCATTAATATCATTGTTGTCGTTGTTGTCGTCGTTTGTCATTGGAAGATAGTCATCGTCTAGGTCAGTTCGCAGTTTCAGCGCCAATTTTCATTGTTATTTCGCACTTTTTCCAACGCTGATTACTAACGATAATATTGACGATTCGGCGGCGTTGCGCGTGCTTTGATTGTTTCTTTTTTTAGCTGTTGCTTGCCGCTTGCTATGCGATAAGATAACAACTGATAGCTGTGTGACTTCTTGCAAGAGCCTCGGGCAATTGAAGCCACAGCAACTAGAATGTATAAGTATAAAAATAAAACCACAGCAGACGCTTCTAAACTTAGCAGACCCGATACCTATCCCGTTTGTAAATGGCACACGGGTGCATTGCCATGGCAAGTTTTCTTCTCTTGTTTTTTTTTTTTGGAGGCGCTGTAATTCCAACAAACCTATTTATAGAGTCAGTCAGAAACTGGCACACGATACTCAAAGGAAACCATAAACCAAAGTGCAATACTAATATGCATAGTTAGCGCCACATTAGAGTTATCAATGTCTTTCAAGGTTGGCACTTGGTTTTCAAGTAGCCGGAACAGGGGCCAAGTATTAAGGGAATCCAGCTAAGTGCCAACGGCACGCAATGCAAATCAATACAAAGTTTTCTTATAGTAAACAATCCAATCATGCAACCCAGGCGAATGAGTAATGCTTGAATATACAACGTGGGGGCAACAACAGATTTATGGATAGTCGACTCCAGCTCCAAGCTGACAGCCTGGCGGCGGCGACGACCCACGCCTGCCATAGCCTAGCACAACAATCTAAACAACTCTCACGACTCCATGGAGTCGCCCCGAAATGGCAAACAAAGTGGGCATAACAAAATGTTTGTAAAGCCTGCTCAGTCACATGCAACTAAAAGGGTTTCCTAGTTTAATGCAACGATTGGGTCAAGGCGTGTCCCAAGACTTTGCTTATCTATCGACTGATAAGTTTAATACATAAAGTTCCCTCGAGTGTGTCAATTAGCACTTTGATAGCGATTAAGTAGGTTACAACTGAAAGCTTTTAAATTCTATAATATGGAAACGTGTTTCGTAGAGATATAACAATAGGAGTGAGAGCCGAGCAGGTGACTCGAATGTAAATGTATCTGAAATATAAAATGCAAATGAGATTTCTACAAGAAAGAATAGATGCCGCAGAGTAAATAGCCTTGCAGACACAACAGATACAATATAATATTTGTATTGACTCATGACAGAAATAATCATAAGATTAATCCTCTCTATGATATTATATATAAAAGTCAATTGTATTATCCAAAGAAGCCAAACAATTTGTACTTCAAAGAAACTATTTTTGAGCTATCGTTTGTATGACAGATACGTGATTGTTTTCAATTGTACCCACAATGATATATGCACGTTCTGCTAGCAACAAAAAGGCAAGTTAAATTATTGAGATACTTTAAATAAAAGCAAACACAGATTTATAGGCATGACAAATCGACTAAGCTTTGGCAACCTGATTAAAAGTATATATGTATATATATATAATACGATATGACGGCTGCCTACACTAAGGAGGAAAACTACTCCTACTCATCTTAAAATCTTTAAAGTTAGTAAACTTGATTCTCTTTTCCTGTACATTTGCCTTTGGGCCGATTATAAACCATATGCTTGCCACAAGTTTATTGCAAAGCCTCGCTCTGTTCGGTTCTTATAAGGCTGGCACATAAAAAACACATTATTAAGCTTGATATATACATTTTAAGTTGTGCAATATGTTGTCCATATGACAGACAGTTGGCTTGCAAATCGATCGCAACGACCTTGACAGTCAAAACAATGATGTTTGCCTTAAAAGGCCGCAATCTACAAGGCAACAGCAGCAATAACAACAACAACGTGCACAGAAGAAAACTTAAAGATACTTCACATAATCATCACCTACATGCAAGCGCACTTGTATATGTTATGTGCCATTGTATCTGTGTGCGAATATATTGTATCTTGTATCTTGTATCTTGTATCTGTAGCAGCAGCAAGTGCGCTATGCCCCCTACGCACTCTGCTGCTGCGGCGCTGAGGCCCACGCGAATGTACTGGGCATTCGCTGGACGCAAGACTGAAAACCTACAAAGCAGCAAGTCGCTGTTGCCAATTTTGGTGCTCCCACGACTTTTGTTATGTTTCATGTTGATGTTGTTGCTGTTGCTGTTGCTGTTTACTATTGTTGCTGCTTTTTGCATTAATTACGCGCTTGAGCGTTCAAAAGTTTTTTCGCTTGCTTGCGAATGATGATGCCGTTGCCTCTCGCTGTGCGAATGACATCATTTGAGCACAAGTATCTGACGGTTAGAAACTTACGCCCAGATACCTTTCTCTCTCTCTAACACTCCCACAATGAAAAGTTTTTTTCAAATGCGGAGGGCGGTTAATTGAATTTGAAATCAATGAAAGCGCAGCACAGGAAATTAGCTTGTCTGATCTATAACATTCCCAAATTGGATAAAATATAGAGAAATAAGAGACTTACCTAAGCGCCAAAACCTCAACACCACGCATGCGTTTGATTATATTAACATCGCTGAGATCACTGCCCCTATAAAGAGAAGAAAGGAATTCAAATAAAATATCAAAAATAAAGATGATACAATAATGACTTTATAATAGCAGTTGACATTTACGTATAAAATGCGGATACAATAACGAAATCAATCGCATTTAGATAAAATTATTTTAAGAAAGTCTTTTTAGAACTTTTATGCTCCATAGCGGATAAAATACGGATACAAAGTCAAGTTCGAGGTCGTTGCTTAGACAAAGATTTTGATATGAAACATTTTGGTCAAATAACCATCAATTTTAAGAATAATAAGCCGACGAATTCGGATAAAATCAACCATTAGATACATTTGAGAGAAGATGTACCTCTAAGCTCTTTCAATAAAAGATAAATTTAAGGACGCCGATTTCAAATGCCTTTCCAGCCATAAGATCCTTGAAGCGCATTACTAGCACCACTAGCAAAAGGCTTCAAAGTTCTAAGCCGTTTGCCACTTAACCCCCTTGGGGTGCCGTGCTTTGGCACAGATAGGCAGGCAGCCAGGCAAAATGGACAACGTGGGCCAAACTGGTTGAGAGCTGCTAGATGGCTGCTGTCAATCGAGGGATTCGGGTCAGACAGGCTGGAGGTGTTGTGAAAGCGCCCAAGTGGGCAGATCTCCCAGATCATGGGCACTTTTGCTAGGCTTTCACTGCAGCCAATGGGCTAACAATTAATGCGCTCAACTTACCAGCAATTTAGTTTCTTGATTAAGCCCAGATCCGATTGCTTGGCACGCGCAATCACCATTTCCTCCGTTAGACGCGACATTTTAACAATTCAATTCTGTTGTCCACTAAATAGCAAACGATGTGAATACTATTTGAGTACAGTGGCTGCAAACAGGTGTGCCCCGGGGTTTGATTTTGTATGTATGTTTTGTATGTAAACTGAATTTTGATTCTCCCTCTCTCTCTCTCTCTCTCTCTCGTTCGGCTTGTGTGTCTGTTTGTGTGTTTAGAATTGACCGTTTTTAGACAACGAAAGGTGAACAACAAATGTATACAACAGGTTACTACGATAATTATTGTTGTTGCTACTATTATTGAAATCAGCAGCGTGGCGTAGTCGTCTTGCGTAGGCGAGCTGCAATTATTAACATTCACAAGTTCCTGCGCAGCGTTTTGTATCTGGCAAATGGAACAGGTACAAACAGTGCCTTGCACTATGTACTACCAGAAAGCTGGAACTGCGCTGGCGTAACTCACACGGATGACTAAGCGCCTTGTTGCTTCTGCTGTTGTTGTTGCTTTTTTTTTTGTTTTTATCGTATTGCAGCGTCTGTTGCTTTAGACTATTGCGCGTTTTTAAACTATTAACGTAATTTACTTTTTTTTTAGTCGCTCACTGTATTTCTCTTTCTTCCCGTTTGTCTGCACAACTTTTACTAATGAAATTAGCCGTTTAGTTTTATATATATTTTATGATATATGTACTCCTTTTGCCAGTAAAGACTTAAAATTTTGGTTGTTTCGCATCGCTTGGATCGATTTTTCGTCTGTTAAATGAATATACAACTTGATGTCGAAATATATATATATAAATTAGTATACATCTGATATATTAGTTTGTGCAATGTTCGAGTTTTGTTATTTGACACAAATTGAATACGCTATCTTTGTTTCATTGCCTGTGTTGTGATGTTGTTTTAACAACGATTTTCCGATTTTTCATGCACAATTTTCCTAGCTGACTTTTCACACAAACACTCGCACACACCCATAGACTGGCGCGCTCGTTTACAGGTATTCGTATTGACTGGCTACGTGCGTTAGAGCGAGATGGCGTACGGCGCGCACCAAAGTCGACGTTTGGGTATCTGAGAGATACTTTCTGTAATACGTGCGCTCGAAGAGACAGCGCCGCATCGACTGGCGCTTTGGGGCTGAACGGGAGCTTTCATTGTGTTTGTTTACGAATGTTGTGCGAAAGGCAATGAGGGTTGGCATGTGTGCGTGCGTGGCAGTGTCAATGGCAATCGCTGCCGTGTACGTCCAACATGTGTATTACTTAAAAGTTAAGCACAAACTTAATTTCATCTTGAAAACTGTCTTGACAAAATGTAATTGTAATTTTGATTGGTAAATTGCAAGCAGCAACAAAATCCGCGCAGGTTTGTGGCGGCTTATCGATATATCGATGCCCAAAAAGAGTTGACTATGTGTCGATATATATATATATAAAAAAAAAAACAAATCATTTTGAACAGTTTTATTCAACACTAATCTATATTATTAATATATACATACGTTTTATTTTTAGTTGTTTATCAACGCAAAATAGCGAAACTGAATCATATTAAATTAGAATTTTTTTAACGATACTATCGTCATGATCAGCAATAGCTGCGCAATCGATAACCAAAATAGTCTGCACTCGACCGTAGCGACAGACGAAGGCTGATGACGAACGTGAAAAATATTCTAAAAATAAATTAACGATATTAAGCGTCGCATTAAAGAAGCTGGGCAATACAAATTGCCAAATATACGTTGTATATAGCTAAATAAACAAGCCAAAAGCAAACATACACATTGCCAGATACAAGTTGTAAGCAAAGTTAACCGAAAACACGTCGCGTCGTCGCCGTTTCGTGCTGATTTATTTATGAATTAATTTCTCTCTCGTATCTCGCGTAGCTGCTGGCGTTTGGGCTTTGTTCACGATTTGCTCGTCGTTGCCGTTGCCGTCGCGGTCACTGTCGCTCGAATGTGTGTGGAATTTTGCAGCATTCATTAGTATTTGTTGTGCCGTGGGACGACAACGACGTCTCCACCTCCTCGGAAAGAACGCTAACGATAACCTTGAGCATTTACTGTGACAGGGAAGAGGGAAACAAAAAAAAACAATTCAGGCCCGTTGAGCGAACGGCCATTAGAAGTGGAGCTGGAACTGGAGCTGGAGCTGTGCGAGCCAAAGCAAACATCTGGCGAGATAAGGGCGCCAGCAGCAACACCATATTCTCGTTTTGCTTTGTATGTATTGCAAAAACAGTTCGCATATTGGATAGAAGGCCCAAGATAGAACGAACGTAGGTCGATTACGTCATCATTTGAGCAGCTTTATTCAAAAATCAAATGATTTCCCTGTTCGCTATTCGTTTCTAGATATTGGCCCAGTCGCCCAAGTTCTTGCTTGTGTGCGTGTTTGTGTGTATGAGTGCTGGCAATACGCCTAAAATAGGAAAACAGTGGCAAGATGATTCATGTGGGCGAAAACACCTGGAACCTGCGGATACTTATCACAGATCTGCAGGTGGAGAAAACGTTGCGTGTGCGCGGTGACCAGCACATTGGCGGCGTCATGCTGCAGCTGGTCGATCCAGAGATGCCCAAGGATTGGTCTGATCATGCGCTCTGGTGGCCCGCTAAAAATATTTGGCTAACGCGCACGCGCTCCACCCTTGACCAGGCGGGCGTACAATCCGATTCATTTCTCTATTTCACGCCCATGCACAAAACGCTGCGTGTGCAGATGCCGGACTTACGTTATCTAGATTATCGTGTGAATTTCTCAATCAAAACATTTGGCGCTGTGGTAAATCTATGCAAAGATCTAGATATACGCTACCCGGAGGAGTTATCGTTGTGTAAGCCCGTTGAGCAGGAGCATCTAAAGAAGAACTTCTCCAAGTTGCCGCAAAAGATGATACCCGTAGCAGAGGCCAATGGCACCGCCTACGTGCAACCTGCGGCGGACACCAACTCCTTTGTGCCCATTACGAATGCCTATAATGGCAGCAATGGCAGCCTGGATCGATCACATGGCAACGGCAATCTGCTGTGCGCACCGACATCTCCATATGCAACGACGCCCCGGCGTTCGGCCACTGCGCCTGGCACGCCCATCAGCTCACCAACAGGCACTTGGAAGCATAACAACAGCCACAATGGCTATGTCGCCTATGACTCTGGTTCAATTTTTGGCGATTTGCAGGAGAATTTGGCCGTCTCACCACGCTCGCCCAGTCCCGATGTGCGCGCTCGCCTTGTGCGGCCCAAGACGCTGGTGCAAAAGGCGCGCCTGAACGTCGGTTGGCTGGATTCATCGCTGTCCATCATGGAGCAGGGTGTGCGTGAATTTGATACGCTCTGCTTGCGCTTCAAGTACTACACGTTCTTCGATTTGAATCCAAAGTACGATCAGGTGCGCATCAATCAGCTCTACGAGCAGGCAAAATGGTCTATACTCAACGAAGAGCTGGACTGCACCGAGGAGGAGACACTGATGTTTGCTGCGCTGCAATTTCAAGTCAATTATCAAACGGATTTGCATCCTCCCGGCATTGATTCCGGCGTTGATAGCTCAAACCAAAAGAACGGCGCTGACGACGACATCGACTCGGCGCTCAACGAGCTGCAAATCACACTGGAGGGTCCAAATGCAGGAACCGATTCGGGCAACATAACACGCATACCCGAGCTATCGGACTATTTACGTTTCCTGAAGCCCCAGCTGTTCACGCTGAGGGGCTACAAGCGCTACTTCTTCACGTATCGCGACCTGCATCTGCACTTGTACAAATCGCAGGAGGAGTCGCGTCGAGGTGCGCCCAGCTTTACCATCAATTTGCGCGGATGTGAGGTAACGCCCGATGTACATTTAGCCCAAGGCAAGTTTGGAATAAGGCTGGAAGTTTCGCCAGAGGGACGCAACGGACCAAACAGCGAATTCTGGGTGCGCTGCGAGAATGAAGAACAATATGCCAAATGGATGGCTGCCTGTCGCCTGGCTGCCAAAGGACGCTCGCTGGCCGACAGCAGCTACGAGAGTGAGGTAAGCAGCATACGCTCGCTGCTCCAAATGCAAAAGCCGCAGGCACAGGCGGCGCCATTGAACATCAATCCGCGCGTCGTGGACGCCAACGATTATCTGTCGCCCAAAATGTTGCGCAAGTTCTCCGGCAAGGCGGTGCAACGTATCCTGGAGGCACACGCCAATGTGCGCCAGTTGCAGCTAATGGAAGCCAAACTGAAGTACATACAGGCTTGGCAATCGCTACCTGACTTTGGTGTCACGCTATTCGTCATTAAATTCGATGGTCACAAGAAGGAGGAGCTGCTGGGCGTAGCGCACAATCGGATCATGCGCATGGATCTGAATACGGGCGATCACCTGAAGACCTGGCGTTACAACACAATGAAAGCCTGGAACGTTAACTGGGGCATCAAGTGCATGATGATTCAATTCCACGATGAGAACGTCGTCTTCTCTTGCCTATCCGCCGACTGTAAGGTGGTGCACGAATTCATTGGCGGCTATATCTTTATGTCCATGCGCTCCAAAGAGAACAACCAGACGCTTAACGAGGAAATGTTCCACAAATTGACGGGTGGCTGGTCATAAGCTCGACGTTTGTTGGCCTCCGTCTTACAAGTGCCAAGCACAAACTGTCGCATGTTTAATGTCTATCTGAATTAAATAATTTATGTGTGTAAATGTTATATACGCAATAGAGCCTCGCTTCTATTGGCTTCTATTGTCAACGTTAATATCTAGACTAATATGTAATATCTATAACGGAATCCACGTTGTGCCTTCAAGCGAAACACTTTTTATTTTAACTGGCACGTCCAAGTCAAGTCCGTGTCCAATGTGTGTACTAAAACAATACAAAAAACAAAAAAAAAAACTTGTTAATGTGCCTCGTTATCAGTGTATTTTTAACGTAGTTAATCAGTCTTTTTGTACTACTCTTCTTTTTTTATCAACCCGGAATCAAAACCCTTCGAGTGGCCTTGCAAACGCTTGCAAACTAACCAGAAATTTTATATATTGTATATTTATTAAACAAATTAATAAGCAAATAAATTATTTTTTATGTTTTTTATGATGGTATAAAGTGAACATTGTCTCTGTTATCGAATCGCTGTTACCAAGCAGATGAGATACCCACTGGAAACTTGAGCAGCATTTGCGATTACTCATCGCGGGGCGTGCGAGTCCAAGTCCGTGTTGATGCAACAGCATTTAATATAAAGCCAGCAATTGTTATTAATAACATTTCAATTGAATTGATAAGCGAGCCGTCGCCACCGTCGACGACCGACTCATTGGAAGGGGCAATATATGCACAGCAGTTACCATAAAAGTAGATTATGCGCAAGTTGCATGACTTTAAACGTAGATATGCAGAGCTTGATTGATGAGTTATGCACGCTCAAAAACGGGTGTGCTGTCTCGGGGGCAACTTCTCACAGTCGTCTGGCGCAAGGTCATAAGTGGAATGCAAATCTGAAACAGCTTGAATTTAATTCAATTAAATGTTAAGTGTGACTTCATCAGCTATAAAATGCCCATAAGGGATTACCTCTTGAACCTGGGGAACAAACTGTTCAAAGTTGTTGACTTTACGCGGGCAACGGATTTTTTCAAAACAGCTTACGATAAATCGACAGGTCTCCTGCTTCTGGCAACATTGCCTACTTGCGTATAGAGGTATCGATAAATAAACCGATATGAATATATCGCAAGTTTGCATTATATTATTCCTAACATCAATTAGTATTTTATTGCTTTTGAAACTTGGTCACACTGTAGACAGAGCCGCATGATTCCTGCACAGCAGGCAGCTAACAACAAATTAAAGTATTAAATCCTTAATTAAATGGAAGATGAAGAGGACCCCATCGTGGAGGAGATACCAGTCTTTCTATCCAAAAACCTGCAGGACAATTTGTATTTATTTCAATACCCCACAAAAACCCAACTGCTAAATCACGATGATGCCGTTGTTGTCAACTGTTGTGTCAAACCATTTACACAGGAGGTCAAGGTGGATTTCGGTCTGAATATAGAGTCTAACCACTACGACCGCTTCAAGGGTGAGCAATTTGCGGTAGCCGCCGATGGCAAGAACACCTACGGCGCTGCCACGCCCAAGGGCGCGGAACGACCTACCTACAAACGTGGCATCGTGGACAAGCAGGCGTTCACCAGCACGCGCTCCTTGACGGATATCTCCAAGTACGTGGTGGGCATCTACACGGACAAGGAGTTACATCTGTCGCCGCTGGCTAGCATTGTACAGCTGCGACCCTCGCTCAATTATTTTGACAAGGAGGACAAGCGGCGCAAGGCAGAGCAAAAGGCGCAGACGGAGGATGTGGACGACGAGGAGGTGGCGCAGCAAGTAACGGTAAAATTCGCACGTGGCACTGGCGCTGGCGCCGCTGCAAAGAAAACCAAGGAGCAGCGCGGCACCTACGATAACTTTGTTCAGCGCATTGTGGATGAGCCCTGGTGTGAGAGCTATTGGCATGCAAGGAGTACGCCCACCGCAGAGCTCGAGCGACAGAAGCTGTACAGCACGAACCATCAGGCCAATCAGTCACTGTCTCTGCCGCCCAGCGAATATCTGTACAAGCTGCTGCCACATGATGAGCATGTCCAACAGGTAGATGTGGCCAATGTGCTGCCCGTCTATAACAAGGCAATGCTGAAGACAATGCCGCTGCTGGAACAGCTTCGCGTGCTGCTCAAGGATGCCAAGACACTCTCGTTTACGGATATACTGCACATTCTCTCAGAACACATTGATCCGCATGTCAACGCCGACAAAGTGCTGGCGCTACTTCCTCAAGTGGGAATACTGCTGCACGGCAACTGGGTGCCCAAGTCGGAGGTGGTCTATCCCGAAAAGATGCTATCACATGCCAATGGAGTCTCGGCGGAGCAAATGATACGTGCCAGAGATTATATAGTATGTCCCAACCAATAATTTACCAGATTAACCTTTTTAACAATTTCTCTTTATTTAACCGCACAGCTCTACAGATTCTCGCGCACCCCATGCCTGTATCGCAACCAGGTAATGACCGCCACCCAGTTGCCACCCGCCGAGACCTTGGACGTGCTGAGTACTGTGGCACGCGTGAATGCGACGAAACGTTGGGAACTTCTGCTGCCGCCGGACAAGGAGTTTGAGCAAAAGCATGTAGAGTTAGTTCAACGCCAGGAGTTGCATTGGCGCGCCACGGAGCAATCGTACAACGAAATGGACTGGGCCAAGGAAACGAAACGTGTGCGCAAGCGATCTACGCGAAAAAGTGAATCACAACAGCAAACGACAATGGCGATGCCGCCGCCTGCGGTGCACCTTCCCACAGAAGCGTAGCAGCGCCAAAAAGTTCCAGATATTAAAAAAAAAAAGAATGAAAAATTCAGTTCTCTTTATTATAAATACTATTTTAATAGTGGAGTCTAAAAGAAATGCTCCTTTGCAGGAACAATAGTATGGGACCTTGGTAATTCCACCCTGTCCTGCCTATAGAGAACATTTTAGTGCATACGCGCGCCAAATTGGAGCTAGTTCGCAGTGAACCAATTGCCCAATTGAAAAACATTATAGGTTACTGATGCTAGCAATATACTGTTTTGGAACACAGCACATATTTAATTCTACAAATAAGCTCCGATTTGGTAAATATGCTGCAATGAGTTGCATGAAAATTTTGGCGCCAATATCGGTTTAGAGATGGCAATCTAAACGATAGACAGAAATTAATCGTCAAATCAGTATATTTCTTTTGGTATATTTTAAAAAAACACTCAGCATATTATAGCAAAAAAGGCTTGGTCACACAGTTCGCCGTATTCATGCATTCGTTTTGGTGTCCGAAGAACAAGTAGCACGTCGGTCGCGCATGTTATGAAAATCAAAAATCAAAAAGAGTTGTCTAACAGCAATCGACACAAGTGAAACAATAAGTTAATAAATTAAAAAAAGCATTTATCCAGAAAGTGTGCGCCAAGTGCAGTGCGCGAATGCGAATCCAGTGAAGTTCAAATCAAAGCACACTGCGGCGGCGTCGCTTTGCGTCGTGTAGTTCTTTCGTTCGCTTTTTCATATTCAAAGTAGTTTTTTTTTGTTTTCCCATCTCCCTCTTCTGGTCGCGAGTGCGTTTGCGTGGCGCGATGTTCTGTTTTAGTCCATGAAGTGCAGTCGAGTTTGTTTCCATCCATACAACTAAAACAATGTCGGAGGCCGAGCACAAGACCTTGTCACCCAAGCGCAGCGACTCTGATGCTGCACCAGAGCACCAACATCAACAGCAGCAGCAGCAGCAGCAGCAACAGTTGCTGCTGCATCAAACAACACAGTCTCTGCTCATGGCCAGCTCCATGCTTTGTCCCGGTCCCGTGCATCCGCCCACTCAAATCAAATTCAATGTTGAGGACTTGCTGCACGAGAACAATCTGCTGCATGCCAGGCTGAAGGAGCTGAGCATCGAGCGCGATCGCCTGCTCTGCGAGGTCTCCAATCTGCGCCTGGAGCTGGACATGGCCGAGCTGAAGCGGTTGCCGCTCGATTTGGACGAAGGGTGAGTAGCATAAGAAATGTCACTTGTTTTATGCCTTAAGGCATATATATTAAGGGGCTAAGTAGTAGGGGCGTGGTGGGGACTGAGTCAGCGCTGCGTCATGTCCTCACGGCCCAGCTGCAGGGCTAAACATGCTCTGCTTCTGGTTTTTGCAACCCCATTTCACGTATATTTTTGCTACCTGTGTATGCGTTTCACAGTGATGGCCAAAATATTGTGCCAGCTCCCGATCATTTTTTGCCTGTTTTATTATTTGTTTTTGCAACTCTGACTCAACCGCATTGCTCGCATTCGTTATGTTTTTTACCTCACCTTTTACGCTTATCGATCGCAGTCCCATTTGTTTGCTTTGCTCTTTCTGTATCACACACACACACACACACAAGAGTCTGCTTGTGTGTGTGTACCTAACTCCCACCTTATCACATTCGCTTTGCTGATAAGCACGACGCGCCGCTAGAGATACACAAGCGATAGCTGATAAACGGGCTAAAAACTTCAAACTAAGAATTCAACAGCGGAAATTCAATGGCAAGTTTGGGGCAACTGCTTGCACCTAGAGATGATCAGGGGCCGTGCCAAGGGCCTCTACAAACGTCGCCCTGACCTAAAAGCACGATAAAATTCTAAAATCGTGTGTGTTATAAATATCATGTTTAATTTACGCAATCAGTTAAAATCATACATAAATTAGGTGACCGTGGTTAAATGCTTATCAGAAAGCTATTCCAAAGTGGGAGACATAAATACAACAAGCTTCAAAGTTAGAGCTTAACTTCTTATTATTATTATAATAAATATATATGAATTATTAACATAACTGGTTTTACCACATACCTCTGGCTAGGACAATATGACAGCCATACACCTGTCTGGGATAGAGCTAAAGTAGAAAACAGTTAGTTTATTAGTTTGATTTCAATCGAACGGAACTCATATTTGCGAAAATTCCTATTTTATTCACTCAAATTTGATTTTCCCATTATTTTATTACTTTTATTTAACATTTAAATTCAAGTAAACAATTTTAAACTAATATTCTTTGACAATTTTTTTAAACCAACTATTGAATATGTTGAGCATTCTATTAATTATTTAATTATTACGTTTATTAGTTTACAAACGGTTCAGAATAGTTTAGTTAATAAAAGTACACGCCCCTTTACGCCCTCTCTATGTGGGTACATATTAAAATTAGTGTCTGTCCGCAAGAAATGCAATGCAAACACGCAAAGTACTCAAAGATAAATTGACAACGACCCAGCGACACATATTGGCATTGAGATACAGATACAAATACAACGGCAGATACGGCTACAGATACAGATATAGATAGAGATACAAAGGTTTGGGTTAATTGGCATGCTTTGGGTTTGCTTTGAACCCATTTAAGCAAATAAGCGCAAGTGTTCAGCACAGTTCAGTTTAGTTCAGTTAACTCTAACCGTTTTTTCTTTCTTAATAGCTGCCCGCTTAACCTTAAGCAGATCTTTATGAAATGTTCTCTTTTTTTGTTGTTCAAATTTTTGCGCTGTTCACCTTCGCGAAAGCGTGAAATAAAACAAAAAGCATAAATATTCTCAAGATGAAAACGCTGAAAATGCGCGGGCAGCTCAAATGAGTTGTTGTCGTTTTTTTTTTTTTGTGGCTATATTTGCTTGTGGCTCTGCTGGTCTTTTGGCCAGCCAACACAATACACAATGTCGTTGGCTTTTCGCCCAGTCCCGCTGTCAGTCCAACAACTCATTAGCCAAGTTATCATCATCTAATAAAGCTAAAAGCAACAACAACAACAACAACAGGCACACGCACACAATTACAGCTCGTAGCAGGCACAACTTCGTCTGCGATGAAAATGGCTGCATACAAAAAAAAAAAAAAAAAAACAGAAGAAAAAACACATTTGCCCATTTTAAAATGTCTGCAGAGTGAGATAATTAAGTGAGTTGGAGAGTCTATTAATTTCATACGCCCCTTTTAAGCTGGTCATCACGACTGGCAGAGAGAGGGGGAGTAAGAGAAAGGGTGAGTGGGATTGGGGGTTTGGCAGGGTAAAGGGATGAGCAAAGGTTTCGGACTATTTAATAGTGGCCCAGCTAACAACCTGCGTCTAAACTAGGTGAAGGGTCCAACAACTGTGCCAAATAACTGGAACTGCAGAAAAATCAACTGTTAAGCATTTGCGTCTTAGCACGACTTAGCACCTATAAATAATGCCAAGAATTTAAATGAAAAGCATATGAAAATGATTTTTAGCACAAACTAATGTTAAAAATGGCCATCAGCTCGCAGTCGATTGCTTATGAACGCCTAATTAGATAGAGTATATAGAAGTGTGTATTTTTACTGCAATTATGATCTTTGCGAGTTCTATAAACAGTTTCATTACGTAACTTCGCATACATATGATAACTCATATTAATTAAATTTCATATATATGTTATATTAGCTGGGATAATACCCGGCTTTGCCCGACACATACTGCATGATCTTAGTTAGATAAAATGATATTAATTCATAGATAAAGTAATTAAATAACTAAAATCCCGCTCTTACTGGCTTTATCAATTTAAATACAACGTTTTGGGAATACAATCTAAGCCATTCCGTTGACAAATGTTATTTCCACGAGAAAGGATGAATAACAAATTCACCGAACAGGGTGGATTTCCTGAAAACGATAAAAGAACTCTCAAACTTGTCTAAAAAAGGTCTTCTTACAAACACATCTCATTAATTTAAATTATTATTTTAAAGATTTTCGCTTGCTAATACAAGTCAAGAAAAGTGTATTTAAAGTAGGGCGTAGCCGACTTACCTGGTTCTCTTCATTGTTTTAGTCGTTGCTCTGCTCTGTTCATTTGCATGCAACATTTGCTGTTGCCGGGGGCTGGACTGTGGCTTCTAATTTTCAAACATGCGTGCTGCAAATGTTGTATATTCTTTAATTAAAACTTATGCTAAATGGACATGCACTGTTCGCGGTGGTGAGTGCCGGGGAGAGAGGGTCTGTGGCATGGCCAGCTCTGCTGAGTCTGGAGAGTCTGTGGGAGCCCTGGGTAGTCCCCATACAACCCCCGTCCAACTGTTTCGGACTAGACTACAATACAAGCACGTAAATACACATACAAACATGTGTATTTATTACGCATGCGATAAACAAAAACTTTTCACATGAGCCGCCAAAGTTTTCAATTGAAAAATGAGATCATCGAGCGGCAGCAAAGCAGCAAAGAATAATAATTAAAATCACTTGGCTATATCATTTTTGAAATGTTTATTAAACAATGCCATTGGCGTCTGGAGCTGTTAAAGTTGTTGTTGTTGTTAAAGTTGCTGTTGTTGTTGTTGTTGTTGCTGGCGGCCTTCATATGCGAATTTCACATGGCAAAAACGCTTTGGCAAGCGCACAGCTCAAGTCTTCAGTCTTAACGGATTACTTTTTGGACTATACAAAACGCACAGTGTAATCAATTTGGTAAAACTTTGCTTATTTTTTTCTTTCTTTCTGTTTTGTCATGTTGAGCTGCCGCGGCTTTGACGATGATTGATGGCCATGTAAATTGAACTGTAACTGTAAAAATGTAGCTCGTTATCGTCGCTGCCAACTTCCGACTCGTGCAGCATTTGATTGTCAATTCATGGCTGAGCCTTTGACAGTTCAACAAGCCAACATGGCCATAACACTGCCTTTAACTAGTTGCACGATCATCGACCCGCCCCTCAGCCCTTGCTCCTCTGTTCTGTTCTTTTCACGCGCCTGCGCAAATGCGTGACCCAAAAATGGCAAAAAGTCTA